TCTGTTTACTGATGTCATAAATAACCCGTTATTATATTCTGCTCTTATGTTACTGTCAGAAGTAAAGTATATTAAAAAATAAAATGTATAGTGCCATAAGTTGGATAACTGAGGGCCAAACTGAGTTTCTTGAGATGTGGAGACCAGAAGAATCAATCAATCAATAAGGTGCTGTCTCCACAATGAAGGTTGGCTGCAATAGATCTCCAACAAGCCCTGTCTCTTGCCCTTGATGTACACTCACTCATACTGCTGTTCGTCCATCTCTTGATGTTATCCTCCCACTTGTAACGCTGTATGCCTTTTGCTCGAGTACCTTGAACCTTTTCCTCTAGGATGATCTTTACAAAACTGTTATGTCTTTTAATGTGGCCAAAATATTTCACTTGTCTCTTTTTTATTTCCCCTTGCAACTCTCTTTTCATTCCCAATTTCCTCAGTACCTCTGTATTTGATAGCTTTTGTTTCCATGAAATACGACCTAATCTTCTGTATATCCACATCATTAAAGAATAGATACGATTTTCCAGTTGTTTGTTCATTGTCCATGTCTCTGTGCCAAACAGTAAGGTTGGGAATACATAACATTTGACAATTCTCATTTTTAATGTATCGATGTCAGTAACTTTTGCATGTTGTTGAAAATGTTTTTGGCCATCCCTATTCTTTTCTTGACTTCTGTTTCACTTCTGCCATCACATGTTATTACTTGTCCAAGATATACAATTTTTTTGACTTGTTCCAATTTCACCCCGTTCACTGTGATATACATTGTTAGCTGATTATTTTCTTTGCTAAAAATCATGTTTTTTGTCTTTTTCAAATTTATATCTAATCCAATTTCTGCACTCCTTCTGTTTACTTGCTCCACTAGGTCTTGCAACTCCTGCTCACTCTCTGCTAGCAACACTGTGTCGTTAGAATATCTCAGATTGTTTATTATTCTACCATTGATGTGCAGTCCTGGTAATTCTACAATTTCTTTAAAAATGGTTTCTGTACATAAGTTGAAAAGGCTAGGCGACAGAACACATCCTTGTCTTACTCCTCTCTTGATCTCTATCTGGGGTGAGCAGATGTTGTCATATCTTACTGTTGCTTCTTGTTCCCAGTATAAGTTTCTAATAGGTCTGATATCCTTTCCATCTAGTCCTATGTTTTGAAGAGCTGCAATTAGTTGTTCATGTTGCACTCTGTCGAAAGCTTTTTTGTAATCTATAAAACATGCATACATATTTTTCTGAACTTCTATATATTTTTCAGTCAGCATCTTTAGACAAATTATGGCCTTTCGAGTACCACTGTTTTTACGGAATCCAAATTGCTCTTCAGAAACTTCTTTCTCTATTTTATCTTGAATTCTTGTTTGTATTATCTTCAAGAGTAACTTAGTTACGTGACTCATTAGGCTAATAGTTATGTAATCTTCACAATCAACAGCTTTTGATTTCTTGGGTAGTGTGATAAAAACAGATGTTTTCATTTCCATGGGAATGTACCCATAGTTATAAATGTCATTGCATATTTCTGTGATAGTATCAATTCCAAAAGTAGATAATGATTTTAACATTTCTGCAGTTATGTTGTCTGGACCTGCAGCTTTTCCCTGCTTCGCCTGTTTAATGGCTTTCTCTACTTCAGACTTTAATATGTTTGGTCCCTCTTGAATATTATGGATTGGCGGTTTGTCTCCTCTGTTGTCCCAAAACAGGTCTTCTGTGTATTCAGTCCATCTTTTTATTAAATCTTTCTTATCAACAATAATTTTTCCATCATTCCTCCTAATACAACCATTACCTGTTAAATATTTTTCCTTGTTTGTAAGTTTCCTTATATTTGCATGTATTTCCTTGGTTCTGTGTTTTATTTCAAGATCCTCTATTTCTTTGCATTTTAATTGAATCCATGTTTCCTTAGCAGTTGTACACATATTTCGTATTTCTTTGTCTGTTCATGAATATTCTGGAGTGTTTTTGCTTTCTTCCTTTGTGTCATTTTGTTAATAATTTCCTCAGTCATCCATACTTGATTTTTCTTGTTTTCTTTCACTGGCAAGATGGCATTAGCTGTTTCTATACTAGTTTTGAAGCATTCCCATTTTGTATTAATTTTGTCCTCTGGATTCTCCCGTCGATATTGTTCCATGCTTTCAACTAATAATCTGTCATATTTATTTTTAACCTCCACTAGGTACTGCTGGTTTATTTCTGGCTGTTTCAAAGCTGATATGTCTATGTGGGGTGACCTTTGCGTTTTTATTCCTGCGTTTTTAAGTTTAATTTGTAATTTTATTACAACAGGGTTGTGATCTGAATTTATATTCGCACCTGGGTATGTTTTGGCGTTCTTTATGTTGTTTTTGAATCTGTCTCTAATCATTACATAATCAATTTGGTTTCTATTTATATCTCATTGACTCTTCCACGTAAACAGTTTTCTAGGTAGATATTGAAAAAATGTTTTACAGATAATGAGTTGGTTCTCTTCGCAAAACTGTATCAATCTGTCTCCTCTGTCATTCCTGATCTCATGCCGAATTGCCCTACAATATGTTTGTGCTTCTTTTTCCCCACTTTTGCATTCAGGTCTCCCATAACTATTAAGACCTCTGATGATTTTACAATTTTCAGTGTTTGTTGTAGTTCTTCATAATATTCTTCAAGCTGTTCATCACTGCAGTCAGTTGTTGGTGCATATGTCTGTATTATTGCAATATCAATAGGTCTTGCTTTGATCTTGATCAATATAATTCTGTCATTGTGAGCCCAGAACCCGCTAAAAAACTTCTCTAAATTTCTTTTTATCAAGAATCCTACTCCACGTTCATGATGTTCTCCTCCAGAATTAATAAATATGTAATCATCTCTCTTTAGGCAGCTAGCTTCTGTCCATCTTGTTTCTGATACTCCCAAAATATCTAAATTCATATTCTTTGCCTCAGAAATTAAACAGTCAAATTTTCCAACTTGATATAACCTTCTAACATTCCATGTGCCAATGCGAAGACATCTCTTTCTACTTTTCAGATATGCGTTGTCAGAATGTGCCCTTTCAGAAGAATTTAAGGCGCACTCGTCATTATGCTCTACCCTAGTCAACAGAGGATTTGTCTCTTCCCTGTTTGTATTAACAACAGGCATTACTCCAGGGGGCCAAGATGTGCCTGCATCGCTTTTTCTAACTTGTTGTGCTTCCATTACTGTCTTTGGGTGTTACGTGGTAAGGTCCCAATCTTTTCCACGATGGCCAGCCATGTTTTCCTTCGTGTCCCAACACGCCTCATGTGTGCCACACACTTTGCTGTTTCGCTTTGCAAGCCGTTGATCTAAATAATTAGATTCTTCCGCCTTGCTTACCGTCCCAGTCTTTGTGTACTAGGGATGGACATCTCCCTTAGTAAGATATTACTCCCACTTCACTCATGTAGTTTAGCCAGTCAGCCAAGACTGTTGCCCGTGGTGTGGCCACCGCCGTACACAAGCGGTATTCGTGGAGCCATACATGAGCTAGGTAAAGAGATGAGAACCAAATAGGATCCTGGACTATCCATACGGATATGGCTGCCACTGACCGTGAGGTACTATCCCTCTCTCTTGACCCTACACCACACAGAAGAATCGGTGCGTTTCATTGAACACATTTTTTTTTTCAATTACAGAGGATACAATAGGGATACAAAAAGATCTGATGAAATGGATAAATGCAAAAAAAAAAAAAAAAAAAAAAAAAAAGAAAACCTTTACAAGCACCAAGAAAGGCAAAGTTGTAAGCAAGGATACACAATTGTGCAAATGGAAGGATAACAGATGGTGATGAAATCATATAGCAGTGTGGCTGTATGTAACTAGCGACAAGATACAGTGCATACATGAGAATTATAAAGCAAATAATATTCATAGCAGAGACGGAAAAGGATTACTTGATTCGGCAGAGAAAATATACCATTTGCAAAATATGTCCAAACATTGCAATGTCATTGAGACAGCCGCCATAACGATTTAACATTTTCTTCGTCTCCTCTCCAGCATTCCTAGTCCTTGATGTTAATTGCTGCAGACATCACCTGCCTCCACTTACATATGTGATTGACTTCCTCTTTCCATTTGTGACTTCAAATGTTTGTTTGTCTGTGTGTGTATTAAACTAGCTTTTCTTTATGGTTAGCCATGTGGTCTGTTCGGATTTAACTTTTTTGTGTTCTTTACGAGCCAGGGTCATTGTCATTTTAAATTCCTCAGAATTCAAGGCTTAGATATCTGAATCGTGAGGAAAGAGGTTTTGTAGAGGCGAGGCTGTGGGCCCCACGATTTAGTCCTTAATCTAAAATGCCAGGATAACATAACCCTTGACCGTTAGGGTCGTGAAGGTGTATCGATGGAAGCTCTATGACATAAAACCCGGCCATCTTTCTCTGTCTTCCACTTCCTGAGCCCGGCTCTCTAGCGAGTTGGGTAAACTGGACTGCGCTGTGACCGGGTGACTAACTCCTTGTGGTCCGGGTTCACGCCCGGGAGTAGGCAGATAAGCCACATTTGACCCAGATTTACGGTATTTATCATGGAATCAAGGCCGAAGTGTTGCGATATCCATAATACCAAGCCTGAGGGTTAACAACTCATGGCTTCTGGATACTAAAAAAGAAATATCTATCCACTTCCTAAACAAATGTATGATAACTTAGCCCTGTCCATTTCTTGATGCTTTCATTCCAGATTCTTCTTCTGGTGGGCTGGGATGTTTCTCTTTGTTCACTGCTCTTTGACTTGTCTAGCTTAAGAGCTCCTTCTGGTGGCTACGCTACAGCCGGCATAACTTTCAGGTGCATTAGGAAACACATGCTTCCCAACCGCGGCAAGGTCGAGACACCACAGATGTGGGTTAAAATAGTGGTTAAAATATAAACTATTTGTTCCAGACTCTCCTAAAAGAATGCTCTAGCAATAGACAAGACCACAAATTGTCTCGATGGCTCCAAGAACAGAGACAGTCAGCGAGGTTGGATGACGTTTTTCAAACCAGGACATTTCATAATGTTTCACTCAACAATGACATTTTCACAGTTCTATTTGTAAGTATGTTTTACTTATGGTATAATTTCACCGTTCAGTCTCGCATATACATAAGAAAGAGGCACAACGGTAAATGTTGAATGTTATTAAATGTTAAATTAAAAATCGACATCACAGCACTCGGAACACTCCAATAGTGGCTCCGCCCCCATCGTCAGCAGCAAGCGAAGAGTTTTAATTCAAATGGTACCAGTAACTGTCTGATTGTATGTCTGTCTCCCCTTTACCCTGAGTATTGAGCATCTGCCAGTTCCCATGTAACTCCTCGCAGCACCATTCTCCTTAGACAGTAATAATCGATTTGTGCCTTCGCTTTGTTGCACAGCGATAAATACAGACTATCGACGACACACTAGATATGAACACACTCTAAGTGCTGATTGTCCTGTAAAATGTAGGTCTAGCCCTATATGCCAAATACGCATAAAGGCGTGTAAAAGGGTCCTTTTCCTTTACCTTATTTACTGGACTTAAAAGTTCATTTGGTGGGAATGTTGACGGGGCAGATTAGCTTTCTAGTGCCGTGATGAGAGCGACGTTCTGCCAAGGCTCTTTTATATGATGACGGTGGTTTTACGAAGTCCGGCTCAGCCGCACAGTGGTTAACCTTTTATTCATGCTTGTTCAGGCTAGTCTACGCGAGAGGGGTGTCACACTGTATTGCGAGAAGCGGCGTATATCATAGCTGTCTCGGATTTAAAGTAACGACATGAATTTGAGCTGTCAGTTGACGAGCGACAAGCAGAAAATCGTTGTTTCCACGGGTTGTACGCTACACTATCTCGTTGGACATAGGCTAGTTCTGTGGGGCAGGAAAAAGAGTAGAGTGGTTAGGGTTAGGGCCAGTTCTAGATATCGCGTCGTTCGCCGGTGACAGTACCGGACACGAAACTTCTCTCACGTAGACTAGCCTGAGCAAGCATGAATGAAAGGTCAACTAGTGTGCAGCTGTGCAGGACTTCGTAAAGTGAACCATGATGACATAACAGTAAGTTTAAATTTAGCAAACGTTTGCGACTGCAAACCTTTTCATCTCTGATCCTGCGCTGAACTCACTGTGGATAATAAACTGGAATGCCTTCTCGAGGCCAGTCCGATTTCCCAGTAGCTTAGTTATGATGTTTACTGGATGTGGCCACATGCCCATTCGTCTCTCTACCCGAAGAGGACAATCTAGCGAGATATGTTTTTGGGTCTGTTCAGCACGGAAGCCCTGGGAGAAAGCTGTCTGGCACATACCTAATCAACATAAGTGCTTGTTAAGTCTGTAATGCCAATTTATAGTCATCATCATCATCATCCTTTGTGTGCATTTAGACGTCACACAGGGCTCGCATTTGATTCCACCACTCAAATATATTGCATATAGCTCTCTCGCATTTAATGGTCGTCTCGATGGAAATTTTCCTTGGACGTTTTATTTTTCTCAGACAGTTCATTTCCCATTTCAGTGTTGTTGTTTTTTTGTGTGTGTAATTCTTTGCTTATTTCGTCTCTTTTTTTTTTTATTACAGTCGATACAAATATGTGTCCAGACATTTCTCTGATCTCCTCACTTTTTTAATAAATCCTATTTTATGTTCATAATTTTCTCAGATATTTGTTTTCAAATGTATTTAACTTTAGTTCCATATCCTTGCTGGTTCTTCAACTTTCGCTGGCATTTGTTTGAACTGAAATAACATTAGATTTGAAGCTTGGCAGTTTGGTTTTAAAGCTGTATAACTTGAAGCTCCATATTTTGTTAACGCTTGTAAAAGACTGTTGTTGCTTTGCCAATGCGAATCACAATTTTCTTCGTTGTATCTTTTGGAAAGTCAAAATTGCTACATAAATAGGGGAAATTTTCTGTTACTTCTACTGCCCATAAATAAAAAAAAAATGAAATGGTCTGTTTCATTTAGATGTCGTCCTTCGAAGTCGGAGTACAATTGCCTCAAATGCAAGGAACCAATAGTCTGCATATAAGTTCCATAAAGTGTTCACGATTAGGCATATGATAATCAAACAAGTCTGAGTTTTACAACGTGATCTTTTTAAGGAGATCCTGTAGGTGTGTCTGGATCAGCCAAAAAGAAGTGATGTAATTCTTAGAAATTTTTGTTTCGAATTTATATTCTGTGTAAAAAAAAAAGAATTAAGAAAAATTAGCTATTAACGAAAATTATAAAACAATCTTCAATGATTTTCTCTGGGACGCTCTCTCTCTCTCTCTCTCTCTCTCTCTGCATTAAAGCTTTAGTGAGGTTTATCTACAATCATTTATCCGAGCACTGTTTTCATGTTTTCAATGGAGCCGATGTGGTGTAGCTGCTGGACGCTGGCCTACGTATACGAAAGTACTGGGTTCAAGTCCGGACGAAACCGGATTTTTTTTTTCAAGAATAAACTTGGCTTTATTGTCGACGCAGAATTGAATGAGTACCAGGTAAATCATGGGAAGTAAAGGCGTTGGGTGTAATGTTGGCGACATCATCCACCGAGTACCGATTGGTTTTTCCTTCTACTTGATTGCCGCAATGTGTGGTATTTGGACCATTCGTAATCTGTTGTCTCTGACAGTCGACTACATGCGCCTAGGATGTTGCTCCATATTGTGTATTGTAACTTGTTCTGAGTGGCAAGATAAGCATATTCTTGTCCGTCCAAAACGTGCTAGTAATCTTGCGCATCAGCCTGCTGATTTATGTTAGAAGAGTTAGGAATAGTCTACTAACTGGAGGCATTGTTTGAGGTCGGAGTACATTTGCCTAGAAGGCAACAGACTAACGGTCTGCATATAAACTAGCCAGATCTGTCAAACGGAGGTGCATGTAACTCTGGTTCTGTCATACTAGGTAGACAAACAAGCAGAACTCTTCGCCGGAATTTACAGCATGTGAACGTGAAGAAGAATCCTCAGTCTGTGATAAAAATATTTTCTGTCCTGGTCATGAACGAAAGACAAACAGTTTACTTCATGAATGCCCCAAACAACTCAGAGTCAAGGCCACCCTCTTCCACCCCGCCTTAAAAGAAACAGTAAAAACAGACTGAGATTTTTTTTTTTTAAATTAGAAGTAATTCTTCTTTTTCTTCTTCCGGATTCCGAGCCCTTAAGGTTCATTTCTGCAGATATCACCCGCGTCCATTCATCTCTCTGGTTGACCATCTCTTTCCAGCTGGTGACACCAATTGTTTGCAGGTCTGTCTGGACATTAAAACTCCATCGTCTTCTTGGTCTGCCTCGTGGTCTACGACTATTCATCTCCTTTGTGTATACAGTTTTAACTTCTCTGTCATCTGACATTCTTTCAATATGCCCCAACCATTTTAGTCTATTAGCTCGCATGATGCCAGTGATCAGTGATGATTTAAACAAATTATAAAAATTTAAATTAATGTCACAATAAACTCGTCAAATTCTTTTCAGGTCGTCCAAATCAAGATGGCTGCGTGCAATGGTGGCCGTGGTTGTGGTATACATATTTGTCCAGGTGTCGTGGACCAGCCGGGAGTACATCCGACCTTGCTGCATGGATGCTCAGCATGTCTCAACTTCAGGTTTTAAGGAACATTACAGTAGGTGTCTGACTAATTGATTTCGCCTTAAATATTAGACTGTATATAGTAGACGGAAAGTCGTGGGTTCGCTCCCTGGCGTAGCAGGACTTTTTTAAAAAATGACCTTGACTCACAGGTTGACCCACTCATGAGTGGTTACCGAGTGCAGTCCCGGGAAGTAAAGACGGTCGGCGTGATGCTGACCACATCACCCATCTTGTGCCGATTCGTCTTTTAAAAAATTAGTTTAGCCCTATACGTCATATACGCCTAAAGGCGAGGAAAAGGGACCGTTTCTTTTTTTTAATATTGTAGACGCTGTCAAATATTTTTTTTTTTTTGACAGATCTTGTCCTTATAATGAATCCCATATTGTGTTTACCATTAGGCATGTGGTTATCAAACAAGTCTGAGATTTACAAAGTGATCTTTTTGAGTACATTCTGCAGTGTGTGTTTGGATGGATCAGCCAAGTTGAAGGGACGTAATTCTTAGATAGTATGTCATTTCCCCTACTCCGGGTACGTAATTGAGAGGGACTATGTCTTCCCAGTTATTGACTATGCCCGTAATAGGAGTTTACTAAATTTGCAAAAGCCGTTGCAATCTGCACGGGAAATTCCTTGTTCTGCAATAAGAAGAAAGATCACTAAATAAATACTAGGTGTGTACAAAGTAAATTAGACTGTATAATAGCTGTTGTCAGTCTCAAAAATGTCTAATAAATGAAAGGTGTACTCAATCTAATAGTTGCCATAATAAGTATTTTCAGAGCATCTCGTCTAAAATGAAAAACTAGGCATGGCAGAATGCTAAGCTTCTAGGTTATTTTTGCTTCTGACAGTGATTTGCTAATGCTTTTCAGCGTATGGACAGTTTCGCTGCCTGAGTTTTTGAGTTTAGTTCTTGGTGCAGCCCTACGAACTGTCTTTGTAATTTAAGCTGCCTTTTATGTGTGCATCCGTTGTGTCGTGATATTCAATGTGGCCGGTAACCGGTTTACGTGTGGGCAGATAAAAAAAATATATGTAGTAATTCTTCGTGTGTATAATCAACTTATTGTGCCCGACCAGTTCCATTAACGACAAAATGCATTTATGGTGGCAACAGTTGTTTTTAGCGCATCCAGGAACTGTACTTTGTATTTACTGTGTGCACATATTTCTGCACTGTTCCGGGATGATTGTTTGTTCACCAGTTTTTCAAATGCGACAGGGAGGGACATTTCACTTGACGTTCACTGGCACAGGAACTTGGCAATGTGGGGTGAACCGATTTTAGTTAACCTTGACTAAAACTAAACCAAAGACTCAGACTAAATTTTCCGTGTAGAAAATATTATTGTGATTGTTTGTTAGCCTATTATTATTAAAGTGTGCGTAGTCTGTTTATTTAACAGTTTATGTTTGTCTGTTAGAATGGACATGCATCGACAGGCTGGCAAACAGACACAAAAGAGTGGAGGATATATACTGTATTGTAAGTTTTCAGCGTTACAGACATCATTAAAGCATTTCCACTTTTTGTAGTTTCATATACATTTTTTTTTCGTTTTGTCTCGATCTCCATCTGCTTCTCTTCCCATCCCCCCTATCTCAAAGTCGCGATGTACCCCAGTTTTTTTCCCTCTTTTGTGGGCAAACATTTTTCTTCTTGAGTAGGTTCTTTCAAAACCTCATGTTACTCTTTTTATCTGCTCAGGGCAATTTCATTTTTCGTCTTTAATTCCACATCTCAGCTGCTAACCGACTAACTGTCCATGATTCACATCCGTAAATCAGATTAGGGTTGAAATAGCTTCTGAGAATTCTCTTTCTCGTCTCAGAACAGTTGATCATGTCAGCAAAAACAAACACAGGCCCGATGGGCCTATCTATCTATCTTCTTATACCCGACCAGGACATCACACAAGCGATAAACACCCGATGACACAAAGTGCCACCATGTGGATGAGGATCACCAGTAGAGACTTCCCAGAAACCGCGTTCAGCCATTAGACCATATTTATGGCAGGGCTATATTGCGGCCCCTGGCAACAGCCAGAGTAGGGCTTCAAAATAAAGAACAACTGCATCCCACAAGAGCATGACAAAGTGAAATAGCCTGGTGGGTTACGTTATAGTGAGAGAGTTAACAAGGCAAACATACCTCACCGCCCCCAGCACTTAAAATATGTTAAAAAGCCACGAGGCACAAAAGAGCCATATTACATCTACATTTGTCGAACGATTGCATTTGAGGATTATTAGTTTATTACAGTTTATAATTGTGTATTAAATATAAACATAGCTTTTTTTTCTATTTGAAACTTAGAGGGCTTTCAGTTTGTTTGTTTTCCTTGATTCATTATCTCCCTCTCCTGCTTTTTATGTGTCTCTACCTTCTTTTTCCTCCTAGCTCCCTCTATCACTGTTTCTACATGTATGTGTGTGTGTGTATGTGTGTGTGTGTGTGTGTGTGTGTGTGTGTTTATGTGTGCGTAAATGTCTGTCTGAATAATTTCTAATCCCTCAGTGTAAGTGTTTCTGTCAGTCTGCCTATTTGTGCATATTTATATGTGACCTTGCCCTCTCTCAAACCCCACTTTCCTTCTCTTTTTTGTTTACCTCTCATTATGTATATAATGTACATTAACTAGCTTTATTTATCCTTGTTTCCCACCCCTTCCCCTCCCCACCCCCAGGTTTTACCAGAATTTCTACCACACATAAAAAACCCATGCTTCTACGACTATGGATCAAAACATCGCGAGCTTCGTTGTCTCCCATACTTTTATATTATTGGAATGGACAAAAGTGCTTCCACGGATCTCCATAGTCGATTAGCCAAACATCCCCTTGTAATGGAAAACAGAGGCAATCTTGGCAAAGAAACAGCTTATTGGTCATGGTATAGATATGGTAAATGTTTGTATGTAGTGTACACAGGCCTTTTTTCTTCTGGTACGCAACGGTGTTTACAACCAGCACTTTGTAAGGCATATTTTCTTTCCAGCACTTTTGAATTCAGTATCCTGGGAAAATAATGTGGCAGTAAGGAGGCATGACCGACCAACACAAAGATGGGCACAGCATATAAGTGACTCCTTGAATATGAAAAGTACACGAGGCGGGAGAGGTGATACGAGACCGAGTTTCTTTCAGGCAAACCGTGATAAGAGCGACGTTCTTCAAAGGACTCGGTACATGATGATGATAATTGTATTAGACACTTTTTGATGAGAACCGGCACGTATTTTTTATACTATTGGTGAGTACTGGCACTTTTTTTGTGTGCATAGAATAAAAGCTCTGGGTACATGTAAATAAGAGAGCCACAGTAACGAAAGTGACAAAACGCTTGCCTGCCAGCCAAAATGTCTTCGACTTTGATACGCTTCAGCGGAGTCAGAGGGAAAAACTAGGTATAAATGTCTACCTAATAGTAGTTTACTGGGAAATCGGGGTTTCCCTGGCGAAGTGGTCAAGCCGTTTGCCTCGAGCTCTAAAGGTCGGGAGTTCGTTTTACGGCGGCGATCTATAGTTCACTAATGTGAATTTTTACGAAGATCCCTGTGGATCGGAGTTAGTGCTCTGTGCGGCTAGCCTTTTTGAGGAGAGACTTAACTTTTAACATTTACTGGGAAGTCATTAGGCTTTTTTGGCTTATGCGTTGCTAGTCCGACTCGTAGTTCTGCGATTGAAACCCACTGCTGGCTGCATGAATTTTTATCATGGTATGGGGCGTCGCAGGTCGACTTAGCCTAAAAAGGGTACTAGGAAGTATGTCCTGGGGAAGGAAAGACGGCAGGCGTAATGCTAACCACATTACTTACCTAGTGCCGATTGGTCTGTAAAAAAATGGGTGCTCTTCGCATATGCCCGATGTGCCTGAAGGTGTGAAAGAGGACCTTTACTTACCTACCTTCACATAACGCTGTGTATCTCTGAAAAGGCTTAGGGCCTTCGTGTATTCTCATCATTCATCTATAAACCCACACCTCATCTGCTTCCGAATAACTTTTCCCTTGCCGTCCAACTGTCAATGATTCACTCCCGTAAATCAAGACAGGACAAGGCTCTTTATTACTATTTCATTTTACTACCATACTTACTTACCATACTTCTGTTTTTGATGACGATTGTGGCTTACTTGTCGCGAACGCGCTTCGTAATGCCGGGGTGCCGGGTTCGCTCCCAGCTGCAGGGGATTTGGCAGCAGACAGTCTTGCGATGTTCTCGAGAATGGTACAGAGAGCTGAGATGTGGTTCTGGTGAAGAATGTTACAAATACCTTGGACTGCCAGCATTACTAACAATGATTGCCCGGAAATGGTGAATAAAAGTAGAACATTATATACGACAATGAGAAGGAGACAAACACAGTTCTCTGGTCATGTGATTAGAAAAGGGCACTGGGGGATATCGTGACGACTAGAAAGGTTACTGGTAGAAGAGACAGAGGCAGACCAAGAGAAATTATGGTTGGTGGCTTCAGACAGTGGCATGGGGTGATATCATCAGCAGAATTGATCCTGAACACCAAAGACCGAGATTCGTGGAAATGCATGAACGCCATGAGATGCACAAGGCTTTTGATGATGACCACCATACTTATTCTGATTCTGTCGTTGTCTGTGGCTTAACCGTTGCAAACGCGCGGGTGTGCCTGGTTAGATCCCAACTGTTTAATTATATTCAGCTGTTGCTCAAACTAAAACTTTTGTTATCACTGTTTGTTACAATTTTATCTACCAATGTTTGTATTTTCTCTAATCTCTATTCTCACAAAATGTTCTCATTGGCAATCCTCAGGTATCTTCAACAAAAAGACTGTAAACAGAAAGATGTATTTAGACGACTATCTGACGATGTTTGCAGACACAGCAAAAATGATACAGGACGCCAACAGGACGCAGATAATTACAGGTACAACCGTCGTTTATTGAGTCTCATTTAGTCAAATGTTCCATTATAGAATGATTCTCAGAATACCATGGACAAAGGAAAAAAAAAAAGAAATACTGACATTCTAAGAGATCTGAACATCAAGGAAGATTGGCTAATAAACAGCATCTTGCCTCGGAAGCTGAAATATGTTGGTCATATCAAGTGCTGTGGTGGAATGGGACACAAATAACAGCAGAAGGCATGGCACCAGGAAGGAGGGGCAGGGGCCGATCAACACGAACATGGGTACAGGATATAAGTGACTCCATGAATATGAAAGTGTACGAGACGGGAGAGTTCGCGTTTTTGAGACCGAGTTTCTTTCAGGCAGACCGTGAATAGAGCGAGGTTCTGCAAAGGACATGCTACATGATGATAATGAAGCGTTCCATTTACAGGAAAACATTTTAGACGTGCTTAGTTTGTCATGGTGAGTCGCCGTGGTGTAGCGGCTAGACGATTGCCTGCGGATCGGAAGATCGTAAATTCGGGTCCAGACTACTTTAGAAAATGACGTTGACTCCCAGGTCGACGAAACCTTGAGTGGATGACAGGTACAAGCTTTGGGAAGTAAAGGCGACAGGCAGGATGCTTACCACATCACCCAACAAGTTGCGAATGGTCTATAAAGTATAGCTTTAGCCCTATATGGAGACACGATAAGCAACATCTCATGGGAATAATCAGTAGAGATACCTTGGAGTGGCTGCTGCTTCGGGGGACTGAGTACGCATAGAAATGCCCAATGTGAAGTGATGTCACTTATGATAACATTTTAAAACCGTAACATGATCTGTCAGCTTCTTTGTCACCGAATCGCCAGTGGTTGGCTATAATACCTGAAGCTGCATAACAGCCTTTCGTGCCCAGTTCACGGCTAAAAATCAGCCAAATCCGTGAGAAACCAGCTCTTTTCTACGTTTGGACTCGTCGATCAAATCAGGGTTTTTCATTTCCGACTTGCTTTCCACTCAGTCCAAATATAGAAGATGCCATCTAAGCAATAACAGTGATATTTGGACAATAAATTACCAGTTGTTGATGGCCTTTTCTTCTCTTTAATTTGCCACTTCAATTTATGTGGACAGGTGGTCTCCGTAGTCTAAGGGCTTGAGGATCGCCTGCGGATCAGAAAATCGTGGCGTCCTAACAGTGGCCGATTTTTTTTTTACCTTGGCTCAAAGGTCGACCTAGCCTTGAGTATGTACCAGACACAGTCCTGAGAAGTAAAGGCGGCCGACGTGATGCTGACCACATCATCCACCAAGTGCCGATTGGTATATACAATATAGGTCTCTCCAATACGCCTGAAGCCGTGGAAAAGAGTCCTTTATTTTTTTTTTAACGTGGACAATTTGCTCCGAGTTCGTGGTAATAGGGCTTGTGATTTATCTTTTTTATTGTCCTCTTTTTAATGTCCTGTTTTCAGTAATGTGTCAGCTCTGTGGCTAAGTCGATGGGAACGCTTCGTAATGCCGGGATGCCGGGTTCGATCCCAACTGCGGGCCATGCGCCTTGCGTTGGTTTCGACAGTGTTATCAAGAAAACCGACCGTCCAGTAAGCAATGGCAAAACTACTGGACGCAAATTTGCCTAGAAAAACCCCACACCAGCCAGGGGCCACAACAGCCAGGGGCTGTTCGGATTGGTTCTGCAACGTCCTGTGAAGAATACGCAACTAACCTTTTCAGTTTTGTGGTGGGTGGAGGGATCTTACAATATATTTAAGAGGGCGCCACCTGAAAAGGGGCTGAAAACCACTGGTCTAAGCAAACAAACTTACTAACCGCTATTTCATAGGGATCTGTAACGAAAAACATCATTCATTGCAGGAGACGCCACCCCGATGGACCTTTGGGATTTTCGATCCTGGCCGTCGATCCCCCAGAACGCGCACAAAGAAGAACCTGAAGTGCTGACACCACATCTAATTCAGTATATTCATCAAGGACGGACACCCAAGTTCATCATTCAGCTTAGAGAGCCAGTGGAAAGGTACGTGCTCGTTTACTGTCTGGAATGAAGTTGTAATAGTCACAATTATTGTGTATATTATTAACATAAAGCACTGTTTGTGTATAATAGTTTTTATAATATTTCTGACTAACACATGTGTGTGTTTCTGTGTGCGTGCGTGCGCGCGTGTGTTTTTTTTTTGGGGGGGGGGGGGGGAGGGGTGGGGGGTGTGAGAGAGAGAGACCATTAACAAAAGTTAGTTGCGAATCCTTTACAGGACATTGCAGAATCAACCCCAGCTTTTTTTGGTTCTGGTTTTTCTAGGCAAATTTTCGTCCAGTAGTTTGCTATTACTTTATGGACCGTCGCCTTCTGGATACCACTGTCAAAACCAACGCAAGGCACAGGGCCTGCAGTTGGGATCGAACCTGACACCCCGGCATTACAAAGCACGTTCGCAACGCCTAAGCCACAGACGCCAATATTACTGCCTGTGTTTTCCCGATGATTTAGGACCGCATTGCCACTGACTTTGATAAACACAATAGCTGGGTGAAAGTTGTAGTGGGTCCACTTTTCCCCGAAGAGCTACTACTTAGAAGTTTGACATCTTGAGATGAAAACAGCTTAAGTCTGGATGGCAGACCAACCAGTCTAGACCCAGATTATTCCTCTGGCGTGCCTTTCAAAAAGTATTATAAATGCCCACATGTAGCGGCTACACTGGCCCAGTGTAACCTGCAGTACTGTGCCGGTAAGTTAAATGCGTATCCTTTACAGGACGTTGCAGAACTAATCCCAGCATGTTTCAGCTATTGCGGTATTTATAGGCACATTTACCTTCAGGAGTTTGCCATTGCTTTCTCAATGGTTGGCTCTAGATACCAAAGTTGAAACCAAGGCAAGGCCGCCTGCTGACAAATCGTCTGCAGTTGGGATCGAACCCGGTACCCAGGCATTCAGAAGTGCTATCGCAAGGCCTAAACTACGGATGCCGGCCTACTGGTAGGGACTGATATTATTTCAGTTTGCAAGATTACTTCTTCTCAATGTCGATAATGTTCGGTTTCGAAAATCATGCCAGTCCTCAACCTTCTAAAAAACCTTGTTTTCAAACATCTCTGACACAGATAATTCTTATTGTCATGACGAATGACAGTTTAGTCTCCTTTGCCTCTCTGAATGCAAGTATGTATGTATGTGTGTAAAGATGTAGGTGTATGTATAGATGTATGTATGCATGTCTGTGTGTGTATGCATGTATGCATGCATGTGAGTGTAAATGTGTGGATGTGGGCATATCTGGGTGTCTGTACATGTGATTGTATGTGCGTGTATGCATGTATGCATGTAAAGGTGTGTACGAATGGAATGTGTGTGTGTGTGCATTTATGTCCATGTATGTATGTGTGTGTCTTTTCTGTTTCTGCATGTATGTAGATGCATGTATGTATGTATGTATGTATGTATGTATGTATGTATGTATGTATGTATGTATGTATGTATGTATGTATGTATGTATGTATGTATGTATGTATGTATGTATGTATGTATGTATGTATGTATGTATGTATGTATGTATGTATGTATGTATGTATGTATGTATGTATGTATGTATGTATGTATGTATGTATGTATGTATGTATGTATGTATGTATGTATGTATGTATGTATGTATGTATGTATGTATGTATGTATGTATGCATGCATGCATGCATGCATGCATGTATGCATGTATGTATGCATGTATGTATGTATGCATGTATGTATGTATGTATGTATGTATGTATGTATGTATGTATGTATGTATGTATGTATGTATGTATGTATGTATGTATGTATGTATGTATGTATGTATGTATGTATGTATGTATGTATGTATGTATGTATGTATGTATGTATGTATGTATGTATGTATGTATGTATGTATGTATGTATGTATGTATGTATGTATGTATGTATGTATGTATGTATGTATGTATGTATGTATGTATGTATGTATGTATGTATGTATGTATGTATGTATGTATGTATGTATGTATGTATGTATGTATGTATGTATGTATGTATGTATGTATGTATGTATGTATGTATGTATGTATGTATGTATGTATGTATGGATGCATGCATGCATGCATGCATGCATGCATGCATGCATGCATGCATGCATGCATGCATGCATGCATGTATGCATGTATGTATGCATGTATGTATGCATGTATGTATGTATGTATGTATGTATGTATGCATGTATGTATGTATGTATGTATGTATGTATGTATGTATGTATGTATGTATGTATGTATGTATGTATGTATGTATGTATGTATGTATGTATGTATGTATGTATGTATGTATGTATGTATGTATGTATGTATGTATGTATGTATGTATGTATGTATGTATGTATGTATGTATGTATGTATGTATGTATGTATGTATGTATGTATGTATGTATGTATGTATGTATGTATGTATGTATGTATGTATGTATGTATGTATGTATGTATGTATGTATGTATGTATGTATGTATGTATGTATGTATGTATGTATGTATGTATGTATGTATGTATGTATGTATGTATGTATGTATGTATGTATGTATGTATGTATGTATGTATGTATGTATGTATGTATGTATGTATGTATGTATGTATGTATGTATGAATGAATACACACTGTTGGTTCCTTGCCTCTCCGGCAGATGCGCTCCGACTTCAAAAGAAGCTCCCCATTTATTCTACTCTTACGACATGCTTTTGGGATGGCAGTGGGTCTATTCTTGTTTTCCAAAAATGGGGCTCCGGAACCCACACGGGTGTTATGGCGCACATAACCTAAGCACAGTTATAACCAACAGCTCCCGCTTTAGAGATACTGAATGAACATAACAATTATTTGTTTTCTTCAGCAAATCCCCTACCTACTTGTGTCTACCCCTCGTGGCGTATGCGGTACAATCTGTAGGCCCCATAGTTTCAAATTACTTAACTAGTAACGCGGTCGACATCGTACTTATCATCATTATTTCCCATGATAATATTTTGTTTAAAAAAAATATAAAGTGGGTCGACGAGTAAGCCCAGGCCAGCTTAAAACGAAATCTGATTCATTGATGATTCGAACACGTAAAATCAAGACCGTGAGCAAGAGAAATGACTGCTGTCAAGTAAAATTAGAAGCTAAAGTGAAGGGTTTTTAGACCAGTTGTGCATTGTGTATATAGTAATGGACTTTACATCCATCATGTTGAAATGTTAACATCTCATCGGTCGCCTTTCCCATTATAACATTATCTGATACCCAATTTTGGCTATGTCGACATGGATTTTTTGAAAGAACAAATGCTGAAATTGTTTGAATAACTAGTGAGTATAAAGGCAGCATCACCGGTTGCGGTTCGAATCCTCAGTAAGGCTGTGGATTTTTTTCTGTCAGGTGCAAAATAAATCCTCGCGTGCACAGTCGTGGCGACAGCACTAGCTATGCGGCCGTAGATCCTCAGGCTCTAAGACCCCCTCCCCTCCCCGCAAAATTATAATAAAAGGCAGTAATTGTAAATTGGTAGTCACCTGTTGCAAGAACATACAACATTAGTATGGGAACATCAAGAGGCAGGCCAAGAAAAACATGGATAGATGGAACTAACAACTTGCTGAAACTCAGCAGTATCACCATGTAAGCTAACGAGCGCACACTATATACCATAAACAGATCAGTAACCGTGTCTGCGACGCCTAACAGCAGAGGAAGACAATAGATAGACAGACGCTTGCCCGAAGTCAGTTTTGACAAATAGTTACCCATTGATGCGGATTTAAAACAAAACCTTCCTGCCGGTACTTAAGAGTCTAGCCACTACGCTAATGTGGCTCGTTGTGTTAACTATATTATTAATTAATAAGGAATAGTTATTATGATTTAATAAGTAACGAAAAGGATAATTCGCTTTATTGCTATTTATTTCCCTTACTGATATTTTGTTTTTCTTTCAGATTGTATTCTGACTATATCTTTCTGAAGTACGGAAACAACCCCACTGAGTTTCACAAACATTCAATGGAGGCCATAGACTTGATGAACAATTGCACGGGCAACCACAGCAGGCGATTCTGTTATTTTAGTAAAGCTCTCTATCAAAAACTACCAGTGAGAAATGAATTCCCACTTTGATCTATGGTTTTTTTTTAAAGGATATATGTTATTTTATCAGCAGAAGGCTTTCGATAGACACAAACGAGGGTTTGTTTTTGAAAACTACAGGATACAAATCAATTGCTAGAGAACATCGTGGCCATGTACCACACAACCAACGTGCAGGACCACAAGAAGGCACATCAGATATGTTTCCAGTTTTTGCATGTATATATATATATATATATATATATATATATATATATATATATATATAATATATATATATATATATAAGAAGAGGACAAGTACGGCCATTTTGAAAGATCTGAAACTCAAGGAAGTTTGGCTAATGAAATTACATGTAGATAGCTGCCTAAGAATAGAGATAACAAAACGAACACTATCATTATTACGTTTTTCTTTTCACTGAATGGCAAGTAAATATCTTAGTTCATTCAAAACTTTATGAAATGTATAAGAAAATACTTGAAAAAAAAACTATATATATTTATATATATATATATTGGATGCTGCTGGAATCTTAGCTTATTTACACATGTTTCTATGCCTGGGGTAAGGGAAGATAATTTTGTGTGTGAGTGTGTTACCCAACGCAGTCTCTAATTATTAGAGACAGCTTTGTTTCAGCGAACTTCTTCTTCTTCTACCTTTCTATCCCCCAATGGAGCATAGGCCCTTAACCAACTCCCGCCAAGTCGTTCTATCCTTCGCCATTGCATGGAGCTTTTCCCATGTCCTCCACATCTTTCTAACTTCATTCTCCAGCTCTCTTCTCCATGTGTTTTTAGGCCTTCCTTTATTCCTATGCCCCTGTGGGTCCCAAAGCAAAGGCATTCTAGTTATGCTGTTCTTCTGTTTTCTCAGTGTGTGTCCTATCCAACGCCAGCGTCTTTTCCTCACCTCTTGGTCCACTGGAGCCTGTTTAGTTCTCTCCTAAAGCTTTACATTAGTTATTTTATCATACCATTTAATTCCTTTTATTCTGTGCAGGTACCAGTTAATGAATGTTTGTAGTTTATTAGTAATTGCCTTAGTTGTTCTCCATGTTTCCGCCCCATACAAAAGTACTGATTTGACATTAGAAGTTTTCAGCGAACTACTTTCTTAATAATGAAAACTGATCAAATATTGTCATCTCTTTCCTCCCTAGGCGCGCTTACACCTGGGCTGCTACTCCGTGTTTCTTAAAGAATGGTTCAACGTGTTTCCTCGATCCGCTTTCTTGATAACAAGAACTGATGAGTACATGAAAGACATGTCAGCAACATTGACCAGGGTGTTCCAGTTTATGGACTTGCGTAAGTGTTTTCGTTCGCATCCAGTAATACAAATGTAATGCATTAAACACAGTTTGGGGATCCATTAAGGACCTGCTACTGACATGTAAGTTCATAGAGGCAATCTACCCGATGGGCTCATCTGAGCATACGAAACCGAACGCAAAGAGTAAGTAGAAGAAGAAGAAAAAGAAGAAGAAGTAGAAGAAAAGAAGAGGAAGAAGAAGAAGAAGAAAAAGAAGAAGAAGAAGAAGAAGAAGAAGAAGAAGAAGAAGAAGAAGAAGAAGAAGAAGAAGAAGAAGAAGAAGAAGAAGAAGAAGAAGAAGAAGAAGAAGAAGAAGAAGAAAAAGAAGACAGTTTGGTTGCTTACTCTTTACTGGAGCAAACACCGCCATAATTTGGCTTTTCGGTTTTACTAGGCAATATTACATTCAGTAATTTGTCATCGCTCTCCATGTAGTCAGTTTTCATAGTCGCAATCACATGCGGGTGGAGTCGAACCAGGTATTTTGGTATAACGAAGCCGTTGGCACCGCGTAGGTCACCCACGCCGACCAGTTGGTCAATCATATGACAAATGTCGGGACTGGCTGTGGTGTAGCAGTTAGACGGTAACCTGTGGGTGGAAAGGTCGTGGATCTGGTCCTGGCGAAGACATACATTTTTTTTTTCAAAAGTGACCTTGGCTCTCAGGTCGACCCAGCCCTCAGTTGGTACCAGGTGCAGTCCTGGGAAGTAAGGGCCACCACATCACCGATCAAACGCCGACTGGTCTGTAAAATATAGGTCTAACCAAATGCCCATTACGCCTAAACAAATGGGTTCCTTTGTTTCCTTTTTATTTTGACAAATGTCACGCCAGAAACGCATTGAGCTTATGGCTTTAAAAAAAAAATATATTTACAGTGTTAGACCAATTATTTTATAATGGTAATTTGTAGGGATATATGTTAATACGTTTGCATACTTTAAGCTTAAACAAAAAAATCACGGCTGCCATGGCAATAGCCGCCATCTTGGGGGAGGGGGGTGGAAAACATTTACTTAGAATCCTACAATTTAAAAAAAAAAAAAATATGTATTGAGAAAAATATGATGGATTCAAAAGCTTAAATTCTATATATCAGATTGATACAGGTGTAGTTTATTTACTTTAAAGATGATTTTAAATCTGTTGCATAGAATTTTGAAATATAGGTTTATTGAAAAAGTCAAACAAATGTAGAATCAAAAGTCAATATTTAAAGTTTAAAAACAAAATTTTTAAAAATACATTTGTAAATAGGCGTGTCCCTATAATATTGTTTAACAAGTATCCACACAACATGTCATGTTTCTAGTCTTCAAATTAGCTGAGATTTTAGGATTGTACACACACACACACACAGCAAACAGATGTATATAGTTGTGAGAAAACTGACTTTGAAACTTGATTTTTATCTTTAACAAAGTGCACGGAGTGGTGTCTTTGGTATTAACTTTTCAATGCTAAATTGTTTACAAATGACATAATTGTTGTTGTGCAATCTATTTTATGAATGCCGAAATTTGCAAAAACGAACACATTAAAAAAGTGATATTTTTGTCATAAATTGGAAAAAAAATGCCCTATAGTGAGTGACCTTTTATGACGGTAGACCCTTATCTTGTATAGAACAATCGGCACTCAGTAGGTGATGTGGTCAACATAATGACTGCCGAATTTATATGCTTACATTTATATCCAACATGCTC